TTTAAGCCATTTCAACAGAACATTGTAATTATCTGCTCAAAAAATGGTTCTATCACGAATCCCAGCTCGTTTAAGTAGTTCGCAATAGTAATAACCAGTCAGAAGGAAAAGAGCACTCGTGTAGGCAACACTCTGTAAGCAATCCCTAAGAAATGGTTTTGTTTCTAAGTCGCTTAGCGTCACAGTTGGGAATAGGCGTAAAACGACACGTTGTTTCGTTCGACGTCTCCCCACAAGGACGCGTACCAAGCTAGTACCTTCCATCGCAGTTTTCTGACGAGTGCATTTAAGTGTCTTCCAAAATGGACTCAATATTTGAATCCGACTTTTAAATGCCGTCTTAGGCTTCGCTGTTGACAGTAAGGTCAGCAGAACACATGCAGAAGCGTCATGTCATGATGCTTGCAGACAATTCAAGAAGACCTTAACCAGCCGCAAGTTCGCATTACCGCACAATACTCTGATAGGCCTGATAAGTAGAACAACTCCCAAATGCGTCATGCAGAAGGTGAACATCTCCGGAGCACACTAGCAGTGTGTGAAGTATGGCGACACCATTGCGCAATTACGCACTCCCCCATGTCGGTTCGATCGTCAGGAAGTACAGTGTCCTCCGTGCGCTTCACAGCCTGGTGAATTAGTTCATAGTGGAGGTAAACTTGTTCGAACTACCGCTGGACACCAGTTCATTTCGTGTTCTAGTCGCGTGTAGACACTTTTGTTAGGTGCGACGACTCGTGATCGGGTGTTCACATCATATCGTGCTTCCATCTTCGTCTGTTTTGCAATGACTCTATCATGCGTTGATGGATTAAGCAAGTCGAGTCGTGTGCGCAACTGCCGCTTGAACATCAATTCTGCAGGCGAAGTACCGGTTGAGTCGTTTTGTGTTATGCGATAGCTGAACAGAAAGCATGAGAACTTGGTGGCCAGGTCCGCTCTGGTCTGTTTGGCTAGTACGTGCTTTATTGTCTGGACTGCACGCTCTGCAAGGCCATTAAAAGTAGCATGGTACGGGGCGCTAGTTAAATGCCTAATTCCATTTTTCTCTATAAGAGAGACGGAAATCGGACGACTTCGGAGTGCTCGAAGAAAGGAACTTCCTAGGGTGGAAAAGCAGAGCTCGTCTGAGCAATCGACAGAAACCTCCAGCGCCGGCGTAGACACAGACGCGGCGAATGCGAATATCCTCTGTATTGACATAAAAGACAGGAACAGTATTGTCCCGAACACGATACCATTAGCTGCAGAAAAGATCCCTGGAGTGGATGGCAACCAGAATGTCATCATGAATGGTTCGCCAGGAACTCCCAAGTCACCAACGTCACGCAACCAAGACCGGCCGCTCCGAGAACAGTGCCTAGTAATACAGGGACTTCAGGAGCCTCAAGCAGATTCACCTAAAGGACGCGTATTAGCTGATATTCAGTTCAGTTCAGTTTCAGTTTATTTTGAGGGAAATATAGGTGTTAAACCTTTGAACTCCCTATTTGTTACAAGGAGGCGAACAATAAAAAAAATTTGAAACTGGAAACACCAAACGGCTACAGAGTTTCATCAGATTGGCAACGTTTTGTAAGCCAGACAGATAAACGAATTGTTCCAAGAGTTAAAAACATTAACGTTACTAAATGTGCTGTACAGTAGTCTGTCTAGGGATAGTTGGTGCTATCTCAGTTTCGGAGGGAGACGAATTGAATGCCAACACACATTCAAAAGACATGGGACAATATTAAAAAAAACAAACGTTACTGAAATACAGTAAGTAATATAACAACATTAATAAACTGTTCGGACGAAATGCTAGACAATCTGTCAGGTGGCATTATGGCGATTGGTGGCAATCTGGTCCAAGTTGCGCTTAAAAGCCTCGACGGAGGTGGACATGACGACACCTGCAGGCAGAGCATTCCAGGCCTCGATCACTCTGTTTGAAAAGAAGAACTTCCGAGTGTCCAGCTTGGCGCCAGTTACGCGTAGTTTAAGTGGATGACCTCGGAGGTTCGTTGTGGTCGCTAACTCAAAGAAATCAGTAGGTAAGAGACAGCAGTCCTGGCCGTGCAGTATACGGAATGTTTGTATAAGGTCGCTTCTTAGCCGTCTGTAACTCAGTGGAAAGAGGCCGAGATTGGACAATCGGGTTTCATAGGGTAGTGAACCCTGTCCACTTACGAGTTTGGTTGCCCGCCTCTGAACTTTCTCAAGGATGCTGAGATCTTTAAAGGTTCACGGTTTCCACGCCTGAATAGCGAACACTAGCTGTGGCCGTACGAAAGTCCGAAAGACTTTAACGAAGCAGTCCTCATCGAAGGTAGAGAAAGCTCTCTTAACAAGATAAAGGACTGACATCGCAGACTTGGCTACCTTGGAGCAGTGAAGCGACGGTTTTAGAGAAGCCGTTACCCACACCCCCAAGTCTTTCTGGGCGTCTACCTCCTGCAATGGTATGCCGTTTAGGTGGTAAACACTCCGGTTCAGAGATCGGGTCCTGCCGACTCGCAGGACATTACACTTAGTCACATTAAACGGCAACAGCCAGTCCTGTGACCATTTCTCGAGTCGGGTCAGGTCTGCCTGCAAGCGCTCTTCGTCAAATTCAGTTCGGATGACGCTCCAAAGTTTAACATCATCAGCGAACATGGCGACATCACAATTCAGTTCACTGACGCAGTCGTTGACGTATATAATGAATAGGGTAGGGCCAAGAACGGAGCCTTGTGGAACACCGCTTTCAACCGCCACCTCCGCCGACTGCCTGTCACCGACGTGGACGATTTGAGAGCTACCGATCAAGAAACTTTGGATCCACCTCAGGAGATTACCCCTCAGGCCTGTTCGGTTTAATTTGTACAGGAGACGCTGATGGGGTACACTGTCGAATGCTTTCTTAAAGTCGACGTAGACTGCGTGCACTGCATTGCTGCCATCGACTGCCCGGGTCCAGCGATTTAAACAATATAGTAGATTCGTCACGCATGATCTGCCTCTACGAAATCCGTGCTGGGCATCGCATAGCAGATTATGCTCTTCTAGGAAGTGCATTATTTCTCGCTTTATTATTTTCTCCATAATTTGGCAGCAAATTGAAGTAAGGCTAATTGGTCTGTAGTTGTTTGCTAAGACCTTGCTGCCGCCTATATAAATTGGCGTGATCCGCGCTGATTTCCAATCGGAGGGCAAATAGCCTGCTTCGAACGAAGCTTGGAAGAGCATGGACAGCTGTTTGGATAGTTCTCCAGCAAGTTCCTTCAACAATTTGGGCGGTAGGTCATCCGGCCCAGGTGATTTAGACTCATTCAACATCAACAGTTCTTTGCGAACAATAGCTTCGGCGAAAGAGACGTGCTCAATCGTTGGCCCGTCCACTATGTCGCAGTCGGGAGGGAGAAATGCGCTTTCCTTCGTAAAGATGGACTTAAAGAACTGTGAAAGGTGCTCTGCCTTTTCTCCGTCTTCACTGAGTTCTAGGTCTTCTAAACACACTGCTTCAACCCGACAAAGAAATTTCCGTGTTGAAAGCCTTCAGACTCGGAAAGCGCTCTACTGAACCCGCTATTCCACCGCATCCTAGGCCCCTTAAAATTGTTCTGAGTTGCAAAGAGCATGTTGATCTCATCCTCTCAAGACGTTTTAGGTTAAAATATTCCCAACAAGGAGTTTTTTCAGCCGGATTACACACCACCGGAGCGGATAAAACGCCGACAGTTAGTTCAGGAGCTAAGGCTGCGACAAATAAATGGTGAACAAGGCCTAGTTATCTAGAACAACTGCATAATCGAGCGACCGTCCCGCTTCATACGGACACGGCCCGTGCGTATGTCGCCCGTGCGTACGTCGCTAAGGCGGCGTCATAGCCGGCTTACCAAAGGAAAAAAAGCTAAAATGCTTATATTCCAATGCGCAAAGTCTGCTATCTAAATTAGATGAGCTTAAAATCTACGTTAACCAAACCTTACCCGATGTTATATCCATAACTGAAACGTGGCTGTCCGCGAGCATAGACAATCGCGAAGTCGCTTTATCTGGTTATCACTTGTTCAGAAAGGACAGTTTGGGACGTCAAGGTGGAGGTGTGCTCGTGTATGTCAAATATGGCCTTTTTGCGTCAGAAAAAGAGGGACAGCTCGCGCGCACAACTGAAACAATTTGGCTCACCGTCAAAACGCGGGGTCACAACCTCTCGAGATCCTGACGGTCTACCGCCCACCGAGGAACGACCCGCAATCAGACAGTAGTCTACTAGAGGAATTAGAAGCGATTTCGCTCCGACCCAATGTCATGATTATGGGCGACTTTAACGCTCCGAATATCGACCGGAATCTGACTTCTGCCCCGGGCTCAGAATTTAACTTTGATCGCCGCCTCCTAAAATCTGTGCAAAGATCGCATCTGACACAACACGTCTTATCCCCAACCAGACTACGTGAAGGACAACTAGCTAACTGCTAAGACCTTGTATTGACAAAGGCACCGGAAAGCGTTGATGTTGTAAACTGCCTACGCCCTCTCGGAAAAAGCGACCATGTAGTCCTACAGTGGCAGTATTCTCTCTTCTCTGTACCCGATCAAAGCAGCGTGATCAGACGCAACATATGGCGTGGTGACTTCAACCAAATGCGTCTCGGCATGCGTCGTAGAGACTGGAAAGCAGCATTTACGGGGTGTGTCCTCAAGGACTGGTTAGAACTTAAGGCCATACTGAATGAACTTATCAGCAGATAATGCCCTATGTCGAAAAAGAAAATCACCAGCAGGCTCCGATGGCTAAAGGGTTCACTAAAAGTTGAAGTAAACCGTAAGCAAAAGCTGTGGAAAGCATATCTTAGGGACAAGACAACTGAATCAAGAAATAGGTACAAGGCTCAGCGAATAGGGCAAAGTGCCTTGTTTACAAAGCCCGCCAAGACTTCGAGGGTAACCTTTTAAACTGTGCAGGAGAAAACCCAAAGCTTTTCTTCAACTACATAAGACAAAGTACTCGCACAAGGGATCCCATCCCTATGCTGAAAACTGATGATGGCGTTGAACTTTACAAGGACGACGAAAAGGCTGAGCATCTGTCCAGGTTCTTTCAGTCGGTCTTTACGAGAGAAGTCGCTGTACCCACTGATCACTGTAATGTGGACAATGTCCCGACAATTGACTCAGTGGTTCTCACAAAACCTATTGTTCAACAGGAATTACTGAAGATAAAAGAAGGGACTTCGCCCGGTCCTGACGAAATACCGGCAAAGTTGTTGAAGAAATTAGCCACAGAATTGGTAGAACCTCTGAGCGTCCTCTGCCAAGCCTCTCTTGATGCAGGCAGACTGCCTCCTGAGTGGAAGACTGCGTGGATTTCACCGATTCATAAAAATGGCAGTCGCGCTTCCGCAAACAACTACCGACCAGTAAGCCTCACCTCCATATGCTGCAAAGTTATGGAGCGAATTATCAAACGCGAACTGATGCGGTTTTTAGAGCAAAATCATCTTCTGTGCGATGCACAGCACGGTTTCCGCAGAGGGAGGTCCTGCTTGACCAATCTACTCTACTATCTTGAACAGTGGACCCGAGCGATTGATGAAGGAAACGTTGTGCATGTGGCCTACATAGACTTCAAGAAGGCCTTTGACAGCGTGCCACACCAACGTCTCCTATACAAGCTCAGCCGCATAGGGGTGAGAGGCAAGCTTTTGAAGTGGATTGAAAACTTTTTGGTCGGTCGGTCCCAGACTGTTTATCTTGGTGGCCAGCAATCGGCAGAGGTGACGGTTACGAGCGGAGTACCTCAGGGCTCCGTTCTTGGCCCTATCCTCTTCCTCATCTATATTGATGACTGTATCCATGGATTGGACTGCAAAATTGCCATGTTTGCTGACGATATAAAGCTTTGGACCGTCATCCGCAACGAGGACGATGAAGCAAATTTACAGGCAAACTTAAACCGACTCGAAAAATGGTCAGGGCACTGGCTCCTCCCATTTAATGTTACCAAATGCAACATTCTGAGGATTTGCAGAACCAGTTCTGCGCACCGGCAGACGTACTATCTAAATCACACACCGCTGCCACTGGTAGAGATTCAGAAAGACCTAGGGGTGTGGGTAACATCTTCACTAAAGCCATCATTCCACTGCTTGAAAGTAGCGAAATCCGCAATGCCCAGCCTATACCTCATTAAGGGGGCATTTGCCAAGTTCGACGAAGAGTGCTTTCGCAAGGTCTTCGGGATGTTTGTGCGCCCACGGTTAGAATTTGCCATTCAGGCCTGGAGACCCTGGACTGTTAAGGATCGTACCACCCTCGAAAAAGCCCAACGACGGGCAACCAAGCTTGTCAGAGGTCATAAAAACCTACCTTACGAAACCAGACATTCAAATCTTAACCTCTTTCCCCTGGACTACAGACAACTCCGTGGCGACTTAATTCAAACGTTTAGAATGTTACGCGGTCAGGACTGCTGCCTCGCATCCGGTGACTTCTTTGAGCTGGCCACCACTACTAGCTTGAGTGGACACCCTCTGAAACTACGTGTGACAGGAGCGAGACTTGACGCAAGGAGGTCCTTCTTTAGCCACACAGTGGTAAAGGCATGGAACGTCCTGCCTGTGGATGTCGTCATGTCCTCATCCGTGGACTCATTTAAGAGAAAGCTTGACCAGTACAGGGATATGTACCTCCACAGCATCAGAAACTAACGAATTCCCCCTGTGCTACCCGCCCCATCCAACGTTTTATGTTACAAAGCATGCTACTCCCTATATTCTAGTAACATTACGTTTTACAATTTTCACTATCTCCTGACCGCCACATATGCGCTTGCTTTGATATTACTTGGTCCATTCAGTACCGTACTGGATATTGTACAATTGTGACATAGAATGCATTCACAGACAAATTCATACCAGTGGCCAATGCTTGTTGTATGTAATTACTTACCTAATTTTTTTCACACTTGCCTTACACATTGTTTTTTTATGACGTTATTGTAACCAAAAGGGAGTTCAAAGGCGCTCGCCTACTTTTCCCTTAATAAATCTAATCTGATCTGATATGATCTGATCTGAAATACTTAAATTCTGCACTAGTAAGGGCCGGGCAATTGTCTGAAACGACCATCTCAGGTATCCAAAATGTAGAAAAAACGGTTCGCAACTTGTTGATTGTAGTCAGTGAAGAACAAGAATTTCCTGTCGGAATCGCATCAATCCATTTAGTGTGGGCGTCAACTACCACCAAAACCATATTGCCTTGTAATGGCTCAAAATAATCGACGCGTACCCTCTTCCACGGCGAGCCGGGTCAGGCCCAAGGCTTCAGAGGAACCTTCGGTAAGGTCTTCTGTGTTATTTGGCACACGTGACATACTTTCACAACGTTTTCTATATCTGCGTCAACGTTGAGCCACCAAACATAGTTGCGGGCGAGAGCTTTCATTCTAACTGTACCAGGATGAGCATTATGCAGGTCTCTGAGGATGGCCCGTCGGCCTTGTGGTGGCACAACTAGACGATTGCCCCATAGTATGCATCCGTCTTGTAGACTCAACTCGTTCTGATGGCTGAAGAATGGTTGAAAATCAGAGGAGTTAGAGGACGGCCAGCCAGATTGCAAGGCTCTTTTTACCCGACTTAGGAGAGGGTCTCTCGATGTCCACTGTCGAATTTGTTGACAGATTACATGTGCGTTGACTAGGTTCTGCAAAAGATTCACGGTCTCAAAAATGGGTGCCCCGTTAATGCCATCGTCTACAGTAGGAAGCCTACTCAAGGCGTCAGCCACTACGTTTTCACTACCTGTAACGTATTTCATTGCATACATGTAAGCAGACAGCGTGAGAGCCCATCGTTACATTCTCGGCGAGGACATCTGTTGTATCCCTCGTTTTTCTCCCAGCATACCTAAGAGGGGTTTGTGATCACTGTGAATCTCAAAGGGTCGGCCAAAAAGATACAGGTGGAAGCGATGTAAGCCAAACATTATTGATAAGGCCTCTTTATCTAGTTCAGGATAGTCAGTTCTGCCTGCGACATGGTTCTTGATGCAAAGGCAATTCGGCATCTCGGTGCATGAGAACCGCACTTACGCCGTATGGAGACACATCACATTTCAGTATGATAGGCTTTTCGAGGTCATAATGAACTATGAGAGATGAGGAGGTAGGAGCCGCCTTTGCCTGTTCAAAAGCATTTTGTTCGATCTCCGACCAGTTCCAGCAACGAGTCTTTTCAAGTAGTCGATAAAAAAGCTTTAGAATTGTAGCCGATTGATTCATAAAGGGACTAAAGTGGGTGACCAACCCCAGAAACGAACGCAATTGACTAGTATTGTTGGGTCGCGACGCCGTCTTCAAGGTTTTGAGCTTACGTTAGAGTGGATGGAGGCCAGTTTTATCCACCCTGATGCCCAGGTATTCTACCGAGTCGGCAAGGAAAGTGCAGTTTTCTTTCCTGAGTTTGAAACCTGCGTTTTCTAAACGTCCTAACACGATATTTAGAGTGTCTAGATGACAATGCTCAGATGGGCCGGTGACTAGTATATCGTTAAGATATGCGCAAACGTGAGGTATATCCTTCACGAGGTTGTCAATCAAGCATTGAAATAAACCGGGAGCCGAACTTACTCCAAATGGTAGTCTTTTATATCGAAATAAACTCCGATGCATATTGATGGTGGTGGCGTCTCGGGATTAAGTATCTAGGACGACTTGGTTGTAAGCATGCTTTAGGTCCAAAGTTGTAAACTGACGACCACCTGAGAGGGATGCGTACAGATCCTCGATGCGCGGGAGAGGATAAGGGTTCAGTTTAGTTGCTGAGTTGATTGTCAGCTTGTAGTCGCCACAGATACGCACAGAACCATCGGATTTAAGAGCAGGAACTATTGGGGCTGCCCATTCCGAATATTGCACGGGCTAAATAATATTCGCTTTCTGTAGGCGATCCAGCCCTTCTTCGACCTTCGGTGCGACTGCATAGGGGACTGTACGAGCTTTGAAGAACCGAGGCCGGAAATCTGACTAAAACTGGAACTTAACAGATGGACCGCGGTAGTGGGTATCAGAATTGTCATGAAATAGATCTTCATTATTTACCAAAATGAAATCTAAAGCCGGATTAACACCAATCCGATGTACAGGGGATAGTACAGAAGGCACACATTTAATCCAATTTCGTCCGAGGAGATTTGGTTGTTGGCTTCCTCTCACCACACGAACCGGCAAGTAATGAAGTTCTCCATCATGCTCGACTTCGGCTGTAAAAACTCCTCGAACCTCTACGTTCTGTCCAGTGTAACTACGGAATGTTGAGCTAGCCGGAAGAAGAGAGGGTAATTTCTGAAAAGAGGCCTCATTGATGAGAGTGACGGCTGAGCTAGTGTCGATTTCATACTTCACGGGATGGCGATCAACCGGAAGCGTGATGGTCTAGGGCGATTGGAGTGGCGCGTTGGCCGAAAACATTCGGAGTATCGCCTCCCCATCCCCAGATGGATTAGGGTAGGTCGCATGCGTGTTAGTGTTCGCTCGTCCTTTTGAGAAGCGCACTCGTTCGATGTGGTCGATTTTCTTGAAAAACTGGCATACCGTCTTCTGGTGTCTACAGTCTGACTACCGGATATGATGCTGACCACAACGGTAGCAGGATGGTAGTTGTTTTGAGGGAGCTGAGGGTCGCTGTCTAGGTGAAGACACAGCAGTGTTGACCAGGGAGACAGCCATTTCCGCTTACAAGGATGCTATCACTCCATCGTTTGACTGATTCATCTGCTGAAGATTTTGCCACACGCGCTCCTGGTGACCGGCGATATCACAGGCTTTCTCCCATGACAAATCCTTCTTCTCTGATAAGAGATTTTCCCGACCTTTTTCATCGCGCAGACCGACGATCAACTGCTGAACGAGCATTGCGTGCTCGAAGTTGTCTGCATTGATCTCTTTATACCCACGGTCCTGAATGGCAAGAGTCAGATTCGTAATAAATTCACTGACACATTGATTTGATTCTTGACCCATTTGACAAGACTGATAGCGACTGAGAAAGACGTTGTCTTTTCCTCCCCAAGCTGACTCGAGTTTTTTGAAGACTGTTTGGAGATCTTTAGCCTGTTGTAGATTGAGGGCATCGAAATATCGTTGTCCCAACGCTCCGAGACTCGTTTGGAGGAGTTTCAACTTAGATGGGATGTCTAGTACAATCGTGGGTTACAAAATCTGGAGCGGTTCAATATAATCCTAAAATGTGTTCCTCCATTGCCACCACGAGTCATTTGAGGGTTTCTGGGTGTTCTTTGGCCAGAAAGGTAACGGTGTAGGCAGTAATGAAGACATGTTCGTTAGGCTGTGTCGCCAATATATGCAAAACAGAAGGTTAATTGAAAATAGGACGCGTAATGAGCACGGTAGGCAGCACAAGTGAGGAGGCTTGTGAAAAAGTCCGGGTATATGACAAAGGGGGCAGTCATGGGCTGATGGGTGGGCAATCAGCACAAAGAAGGTGGGAACAAGGGAAGGAAGCACAGAGGCAGAAGGACCACCACAAATCCAAGTGCAGTGTATGTGTAGAGACATCAGAGACAAATCAATATAAGTGTTAGTTTAACAATGCAACCAGCCCTGCAATCCGAAAGTAGTATATTCACCAGTACACTGCTATCTATAAACGCTCTTTGAACATGACTCTTGAGTACCATATAATTCGACAGGCAAAATAACTTTATTAATGCCCCAGACCAGTTTCATCAATGGTACATGTGACAACTCATAAAAACGCGTACGTTTCACCAAGGGAACACAATAACCCAAAATCCGCACACGTCGCGTTCCCATAAAGTCCAAAATCCGCACAAAACGCAATCTTTTGGGAAATTATGACACACATGTCGTTTGTGGTTTATAATCTCATAGAAAAAATTAATTTTCACTAAATTAAACTGTGAGGGATGTTTGCATACATGATGTTGATACATATATTAATGAAGGGTGATTAGTGTAAGTGCATTTTGTTGGCTCACTTTGGGCATATCCAGCCAACCCACATATTCTACTCGAACAGATTTGGTTCCAGTATAGAAAAACTTCATTTGGCAGACCAGATAGAATATTTGGTTGGAAAGGTGAAATCAGCGTTGCCAATCTTCAGGAATGCGACAGCAACGCATTGTTCCAGTCAAGACCTAATGATTGACGTGAGGTCGATAACAGGTACCTTGACCGATATCTGAAGCTATGCCACAAAGGGGTGGACGAAAACGCCCATATATTGGATATTTCATTTCTTTTAGCTTAACATATTCCATTCGCATCGTCCCACTGATTCTATGCCTGATTAGACTGATGAATTTCCAACCCACCAAACGCTAGTTAGTCCTGCAGGGTTTGCAAATATGTGCTTGGCCATTTTGGTTTATAAGTCTGAGATGGTTATTTCGGTAGTCCTAGCTTCCGCCAGTTATCTTACCATGCAGTTATAGGAGGAGAGGGAGAGGAAGAAATGCAGAGTGTAGGACAGAGAGATGAGTGAACATGGAAAGAAATGAAATTACTTTGGAGCAAAAGGTGAAATCGTGTTGCAAAGTTTAAGGATTGTCCAAAATGCACGGCAACCTCAAAGGGGGCACTGCACCCATCATTGTCGCGTCGGAATGCGTTTACTTCGCTTGTCAATTTTAAGAGTCTTGGCAATCATGACAATTTTTTGGAATTTCATTCATCTAGCGCATTCTGTTGGTCCAATGAGCCCATCGTAATCTGACACATGAAATCAGCATATGTGTGAAGGATGCCCTTTGATTATTTCGGGTCGTTAAAGCAAGCAAACGGACCAGAATTGAAATTGTGATGGAGAAATTTCCTCAGTCCATGCATACGCTATATGAATTCAGGGTAAATCAAGTTTCGATGAATGAATGACGATGGCTTACAATATTGTTTCATGTTTAAATGCAGATTGTACTTTAGGACGGCGTACGTGTGCAAGAAACCTCAGATTTATTCCGAACCGTTAAGATCCATGTCTGCATTTGCTAAACTATATCGAGCAACAATATATGTGACCCTGTCCGGGAAAGCGTGTTAAATGACACATTGCATGAGGATGGGTTCGGTCGATATCATTTCATAGGAGTCACATGCTCCGCGTGAAAGAACACACTCAACCATTTAAAAATTCCATCACTTTTCAACTTAGTTGGCACACAGCTTATTTCAAAAATTGATTTTACTGTTGATGGTTTATGTCGTGAAGTGCTACGCCAGTGTGAATATGAACGACATTTGACAAATTTAACTTATTCACTCCTGTATGTCTGAAACATTGAATTGTATTTCAATCGATTGTTTCGACTTATTTCTACGTGACGGACGGTCCTCCACAAGAACCAAGTTTACGACTGAGCACGTTCCAACCATCTTCGTCAGCAGGATCCAAGAACATGTCCTTGTTTTATATTGCCGGTTGTCGTAAGAAATGTTACTCGATAAAGTAAGTTTCGGGAGGGTTTCCAATTCGACAGAATTGGACACGTAATGCATGCACTTGGTAAACAAACGTAAAGAACGGTGCAAAATACGCAGGGCAAGTTTTTATAGCAATTTTGGTCAGTATGGTACATTCATCGGAGTCCCTATTGCCATGATAAGGGATCATGTTTAGAAAATTCATAGTCCTTCAAGATTTGACTAGAGGTGCAGCAGTCGTCGTTGATTGATGAGTATTGAGCGGGTTTTTGAATCAAACGGCAACATTCTCCACTAGTCACGTTTCATCAATATATATGTATATGCAGAATGATATTACCGACAAAGACAAGGGAGACTGGAATGGCCATTTCTGGCTTATTAGCCGTCGTCAGCCAGCCATATCCAAGCCCGAAGTGTGGAACACCCGAGCCTCGAACTCGCGACCTGTTGGTTTAGAAGTCAACGCCTCTACCCACCGGGCCACGAGCCCGTTGCCCTGTCCGTTTTCGATCGGGAATATACAATGTTAGGGGGCGCTCACCGACGACGGCTAATAAGCCAGAAATGGCCATTCCAGTCTCCCTTGTCTTTGTCGGTAATATCATTCTGCCTATATATCATGCGCCGCTGTGCGGCTGCTGGTTGGGCTCGAGAGAGAGCGCCTAAGGCACAACGGAACGAGTGAGTTCCGTATGAACGATCGGTGAGCGCCCCCTAACATTGTATATTCCCGATCGAAAACGGACAGGGCAACGGGCTCGTGGCCCGGTGGGTAGAGGCGTTGACTTCTAAACCAACAGGTCACGAGTTCGAGGCTCGGGTGTTCCACACTTCGGGCTTGGGTATGGCTGGCTGACGACGGCTAATAAGCCAGAAATGGCCATTCCAGTCTCCCTTGTCTTTGTCGGTAATATCATTCCGCCTATATAACATTTGCTGTTTCAGCAAAATACTAGCGGCACTTTACCTAAACGGAGCTGAGATGGTGAAAACGGTCGCAATATAAAGCAACAGGCATGTTTTGTCATTTACAGCAGAAAAATAGCAGAGTATTTTGCCGCAGGTAAAATCGAGTAAAAGTGTTAGTTGACGTTTTGGCTTCATCATGAAAAATGTTAACTACGCGGATATTCGTCGACGAAATACGGTACTGAAGTAATCCTTAAACGGCTGGCTTGGTAGCCAAATTTTCATAATTGATTTCATTTGCGAATTTTTACGTTTCTATCCATTCTGCTGTCGCCACAGAGTTAATTTCGACTGTTTTCAAACTCATCGATTCATTGATGCACTCTCGTCACTAGCAAACACATTATCTTTTTTAAAAAATAACCGTAACTATTCACCTTCTCGTTGCTGTCAAAGTAGAAGAAGTACTTATTCAGCATGTCATATTAAGGAATAGTTTAACCGAAAATACTTCTTGATTGACTTAATGGCTCGCATCTAGCAGCACACTGTTTTCTTTACAAACGTGCAAAAACACACCTTGGCAATTCTAAATGGCGTCCCCACCAAGTACCTGAAGCATCCTTTCCTCCCAACAGTCCAATGGTAAATTAGCTACAATGCGTGGCCGATTTCATGATATGTTGGCCGAAATTCTCAAATGTGTTTTCGATTAAAAATGATTATTTTGGTGGGGTTATAATATTGATTAGCATGCAGCATAATTCTATAGCCTTTCGGACTCGTCCGGATGTCGGCTTTTGGATGCACTCCTTTCTGACCTTCTGCAGAGACTGCGCTTTGCAAAAAAGGACTATTTATGTAGCATGCATTTTTCGTATTGATTTTCGATGGTTTTACCAATTCAAATACATTCTATAGAAAATGGCAACAAAAATATTCCCTCTTTTACACTTTCGGTAGAAAACCACACTGTCTTCATATCTTATACCTGAAGAAAGTGTACATTTAGGTTTTAAAAAAATTTTCCTATTCCCGAATATTTTTAAGCCAGATCTGCTATTGCATTAGCGTTTAGCAACTTCAATTTCCAAGGTGCATGCTTTCCGCGTAAGGAAAATCGTATATTCCTCTAGGCCTTTAAAAGCTGGGTAATCCTTTTTAATCGAAAACACATTTCAGATTTTCGGTCACCACTTCATGAGATGGGTCACGTACTGTATCTGCGACCACTGCAAGAAGAAAATGACATAAATATTTATTACAAATTGGTATATACAACAAGGGTCTCTGAAAACAAACTACATCAAAATCTCATTGATAATTATATGCAATATACTTTCTCATTCCCATTTTAGCATATCTGATCCGAGTTCACACAGCGACTGTTCACATATTGCAGACTAGTAACAGTGAATGAATACGGTGACTTGATGTGTGGTCGCTGCAGTTGCTGGTGGAACTTCCCTCAGGGCAATTTCTTTGAAAATGTCGCAGAGTTCACACTGAGTGTTTTTGTCAATAGTATTTTTAGTAAGATACCGCATTATGCATGGTAAGCCCATTCAGCTCATGTACGCTAAAGCGGCGACTGGTCCACTCACACTGCTCTATCACTTCCAGCAACTTGACTTCTTGCGCACACTGGCAGTTTGCTGCGATTCCACGTTCTAGCTTCAGTTTGATCACTCGACCCGACAACCTAATCAGATTAAATAGCAAGGAATAAGTGTTCATTGTTATCGAGTTTTTTGGGAGTGAGTAAAAGGAGTTGGCTTAAATTATAAAGACAGCGACAGTTTTGGTATTGTTGCATTCACATGTAAGGGGTTTTCGGAATATAAATGATATGGCCCACGGTTGGAAGGCAAATGCTTATGAGACATTGGAACACGAAGGAAAGTGGTGGAAAATTTGGCATTAAAAAACTGTTATCCTGCGGTGACATTTATGTAGTATAGGGAGGTTAGACGAGCTACTCGATGAGAAGTAATCGATAAGACTAACCAGATTGCCACTGAAAATGTTAAAAGATCGGCTAACGTGTATCAAACGCCTCCAACCCCAAAACGCCGGAACAAATCATCTTCTAACTTGCCCGCCCTCCCATCAAACATTCCATGCGCGGATCGGCCTCATCGGACACCTCCGAACCCGACGCCAAACACCGCAATAACCGCTTCTACTGCCTTAGGATACGCTCATATTTTCTCCCCTACACCCACTGACAAGCATCCACGACAACTATCACCACCGCCGTCATTTCGGATGACGTTTCTGACGTCGCCGAACACCACCTCCTCTGTCCCCTCCCGCCAAGCAACCCCGAGGACGATGGCGACAACGATGACTATGACAACGACGAATACCGCCTCACCCAATTGGGTCGGCGCACTCGCTTTTTAGATGCTGCGCCTTATGTAGGAGGCGGCCCCATATTTTGATGACATTTGCGTAATTTGCGCGAACCCATCGCCTGACATTGGTCCTATTTCGTTGGTCGCCTCATTGGGTATATGACTCACTGATGGTTGACTTATTTCCCCGCGTCCGCAACTCACTGCGATTGTCTGTTCTGGAGGTGAGGTGAAAGTCGCTTAAACCATGTAAACCGTTCGAACAATAAGAATGTTTTATTTTTACCGAATTAGTCTCTAAAAAACAAACCTAATCGACGGATGTGCCTGATTCACAGCATTTAAGAGGGCGGCCACGGCGGTCTCTATAATGACTATCATACGGATGTCACCAACGTAGCGATCATAATACCCAGGCTTATCGATCTGATCCCTTAAATGAAATTCCTCCAGCTCGGCCATGAAACTATCAGCCAAGAGTTGTCCAAAAAGCGAACTCATAGCAGCACCATCTATTTGTGAAGAAGGAGACACGATCGCTGGAACAAGTGCTTTATTAGCCTGATGTTTCGAATACTCCATCACCAGAGACAGAGTCAGATAAAGGTGCTGGATTGCCCAGGTGTTACACTACTTATAGGATGTAGTTTCTAGGCCGCTACATGCCTACCACAGTTGGCCTTGGATACGTCCAAATCATCTAACTCCTGAAGTTCTGCCTCAAGACGCTATGAGTGATCGTTATGGCAGTAAGTCAATTACTTCACTAAACTGGTTAAACGGTTTAAATAGCAGGACTGTCGACTGTTTCCTATCGATCAAGTCTCAATTATATAAAGAAAATTAGATTGAAAGGTAACGGCCGACCTAAAAGTGTTAGCGTGGATGTACTTATAACTAATGAATGTCCAGCAACCGACGAATAAAATAAATACGTATGAGAAATTATACCCCGGAAGAAAGAAATAGAAATGGAATGGAAGTTTTCAATTATTTTCCAAGTAGAGTTGTTGATGATCTAGTGATGGATGGATTGTTTTGTGGCGTGGAAGTTTGCGCATTACCCCTGCTGGTTTGTGTAGCTGATTCCGCTCTTCAAATGGTTGTACAACAGGAGGATAATTAGGATTTATTAGTGAGTGACAGTCAGTTTTGGGGGGCCTTCCGACAGTTGAAATGACCAACAACATACGTGGGTTGTATCAGAAGGATAAAACAAACAAACTCACTATCAAAAGATGAAGATGCGATCACTGGAACAAGAAATTTATTTGCCTGACGTTTCGGATTCTCACTCGAATCCATCATCAGAGACATTTGCAGATAAAGGAAATGGTGGCACCAGAAGTGCAGTATTTATAGCACGTGGCTGCCGTGGGACCGCATGCGCACTGCAATTAACAGTTCTCGCAATCACCGCTGGGATCGTAATTGATGCGGTGGTGGCTTGTCGGTCCGAGTCCGAGTCGTTAATTGCCGTGATTTCGTCATCCGTGCTGGATGCTGGTGTGACGATTGCTGGGCAAACTGACTCAATGTCACCGTGATGATTGCTCGCCCGCGACCTCCCCACTTGACTGATTCTCCCGCCCAGGGAAAATCGCAACACGGAATATGGTACCGGGAGGTCATTGTGCTTGTTGATGGATTGCGGGCCTGAGAACCATGACTCGAGCAGCTCGCGGATCACACGGTTGTCACCCCTTGCGAGGATTCCGGCCTCTTGACATTTGAAAATATGGCCGGGTCCCGTCGAGTGTGCCGCCACCTGAGAGTTAGCGTCTGCCCGCCCCACTGCTGCTGCTGCGTGCTCGGCAATTCGCGTACGGAGTAATCTCCCAGTTTCTCCGACATAATTGCTTTGTCCGCAACTATACCAGATCCGGTAAACGACTCCAGACGTTTCCTGCCGTGGCAGCGGGTCTTTTGGCTTCATGACTTGGCGCCTAATGGTTGCCTCCGGCCTGTGTGCAACCCCAACTCCAAATGGAGTGAGAAGACGACTGACGGCTTCCGGGAAGTTCTTCACGTACGGAAGAGCCTGCCAAAATTTGGGGCCGGTTGGATTTGGTCTCAGGTGTCCTTTTAGTATGCACTGGTTGACAAAGTTGCGCGGGTAACCATTGGCTCTCATTAACCGTCGAAGATATTGTAATTCATCGACCTTGTCTCCCATTTCACTGCAGTTCGTCTCAGCGCGCCGGTATAGCGCTCTTACGCAACTGCGTTTGTGACTGAAAGAGTGGTTGATATTGAAGTCGAGTATTTGCGTCGTATTTGTCGCTTTCCTGAACGTTTTGGTTTTTAGGCCATCACAATCTTTGCGGCAGACGAGGACATCCAGGAAGGCCAGCTGATTGTTTTCCTCCTCCTCCATCGTAAATTGAATGTCCGGGAAGACGGCGTTGAGTTGTTCTTTGAACGTCAGCACCTGATCCCGTTCGATGACAATGAAGCTGTCATCCCCAAACCCAGCCCAAACTTTCGGTCTGCGGTGTCGGAAAACCAACGACTCCAGCCGTTGACAAGCCACCACCGCATCAATTACGACCCCAGCGGTGATTGCGAGAACTGTTAATTGCAGTGCGCATACGGTCCCACGGCAGCCACGTGCTATAAATACTGCACTCCTGGTGCCACCATTTCCTTTATCTGCGAATGTCTTTGATGATGGATTCGAGTGAGCATCCGAAACGTCAGGCAAATAAATTTCTTGTTCCAGTGATCGCATCTTCATCTTCTGAACTGCTACCTGGAACTCGCCTGTTTGCTTCTATCAGCAAGCTCACCGTCGACAGTTGCAGAAAAGAGCGCTAACTTTGACGAAGTATGGGCGAAAAGGGATTGCGTTCATAAAATGTTATCCGGACAATAACAAATAAATCCCTAAACTGGTACCTTTCTGCAAGGCCGCATGCGAAAACTACAGTCCGCAACGTATCCCTGCTTAAGTAGTGTAAAATGTATTTGTTGATTTTCAATGCCCCTGAAAATTTAAAAATATACTATAGGAAAAAGGATGAAAAGTCTTCGTTCTTGAGCCCACTTTGTGACAACTAGCGAATTAATCGAATTATAATTTTATGGAAATTGTACTATCCGTCAGAAAAAAAACTTCAATTGCGAGACCATTGGGACTATAAGGACTGTGAAGGAGTTCCATGAGTTAGTCCACATATTGTAGTCACAAACATACTCTGTGTGCGAATAAACATTTTCCATGAAGGACTAGAGGAATAATCAAAAGGTACACAAATGCTAGTGCATCAGTTTGATCGCGAAATATACTTTATCACTGCTCGTTGATTAGGTGATGTACTGTAATATCTCGTGCAGGATTTACATCAAACCGGTCTAAAAGAATGTTGCCGTTTGAAGCAAAAACACGCTCAATACTCATCAATCGACGACAACTGCTGCATCTGTTAACAAATCTTGACGGACTAGGACATTTCTGAACATGATCCCTTATCATGGCAATAGGGACTCCGATGAATGTACTATACTGCCCAAAATTGCAATAAAAACTTGCACTCCGTATTTTGCAACGTTCTTTACGTTTGTCTACGAAGTGCAGGCATTACGTGTCCAATTCTGTCGAATTGGAAACCCTTCCGAAACTTACTTTATCGAGTACAATTTCTTGAGACAACCGGCAATATAAAACAAGGACATGTTCTTGCATCCTGCTGACGAAGATGGTTGGAACGTGCTCAGTTGTAAACTTGGTTCTTGTGGAAGACTGTTTGTCACGTAGAAATAAGTTGAAACAATCGATTGAAATACTATTCAATGTTTCAGACATACAAGAGTGAATAATTTAAATTTGTCAAATGTCGTTCCTGGTCACACTGGCGTAGCACTTCACGACATAAACCATCAACAGTAAAATCAATTTTTGAAATAAACTGTGTGCCAACTAAGCTGAAAGGGGATGGAATTTTAAATGTCTGAGTGTTTTCTTTCACGCGGAGCATGGGACTCCTATAAAATGTTATCGACCAAAATCCATCCCCATGCAGTGTGCCATTTAACGCGCTTTGCCGGACAAGGTCACATATATTGTTGCCCGATGTAGTTTGGCAAATGCAGACATGCGCCTTAACGGTTCGGAGTAAATCTGAGGTTTATTGCACGCGTACACGGTCCAAAAGTAAAATTTGCGTATAGATATGAAACAATATTGTAAGCCATCGTCATTCATTCATCGAAACTTGATTTACCCTGAAGTCATATAGCGTTTGCATGGACTGATGAAATTTCTTGATTATAATTTTAATTCTGGTCCGTTTGCTTGCTTTAACGACCCGAAATAATCAAAGGGCATCCTTCACACATATGCTGATTTCATGTGTCAGATTACGATGGGCTCATTGGACCAACAGAATGCGCTAGATGAATGAAATTCCAAATAATTTGGATATTGATTTTGCTCTGGAGTTTGCATTCTGTTGTCATTTGATATATCGCCGTTCATCTCGACAGTCTGATAACTACTATTCAATCTTGCCTATTTGAAGTAATTTTCGAAGCAATCGCGTGATTGCCAAAACTCTTAAAATTGACATGCGAAGTCAACGCATTCCGACGCGAAAATGATGGGTGCAGTGCCTCCTTTGAGGTTGCCGTGCATTTGGACAATCCTTAAAATTTGCAACACGATTTCACCTTTTGCTCCAAAGTAATTTCATTTCTTTCTCTTTTCACTCATTTCTCTGTCCTACACTCTGCATTTCTTCCTCTCCCTCTCCTCCTATAACTGCATGGTATGATAACTGGCGCAAGCTAGGACTACCGAAATAACCATCTCAGACTTATAAGCCAAAAAGTGGCCAAGTGCATATTTGCAAACCCTGCAGGACTAACTAGCGTTTGGTGGGTTGGAAATTCATCAGTCTAATCAGGCATAGTGGGACGACGCCAATGGAATACGTTGAGCTAAAAGAAATGAAATATTGAATATATGGGCCTTTTCGTCTACACTTTTTTGCTTAGCTTCAGATATCGGTCAAGGTACCTGTTATCGACCTCACGTCAATCATTAGGTCTTGACAGGAACAATGCGTTGCTGTCGCATTCCTGAAGATTGGCAACGCTAAGTTCACCTTTCCAACCAAATATGCTATCTGGTCTGCCAAATAATAGCTTTCTATACTGGAACCAAATCTGTTCGAGTAGAATATGTGGGTTGGCTGGATATGCCCAAAGTGAGCCAACAAAATGCAGTTACACTAATCACCCTTCATTAATATATGTATCAACATCATGTATGCAAACATCCCTCACAGTTTAATTTAGTGAAAATTAATTTTTTCTATGAGATTACAAACCACAAACGACATGTGTGTCATAATTTCCCAAAAGATTGCGTTTTGTGCGGATTTTGGACTTTATGGGAACGCGACGTGTGCGGAATTTGAGTTATTGTGTTCCCGTGGTGAAACGTACGCGTTTTAATGAGTTGTCACATGTACCATTGATGGAACTGGTCTGGGGCATTAATAAAGTTACTTTGCCTGTCGAATTATATGGTACTCAAGAGTCATGTTCGAAGAGCATTTAAAGATAGCAGTGTATTGGTGAATATACTACTTTCGGATTGCAGGGCTGGTTGCATTGTTAAACTAAGACTTATATTGATTTGTCTCTGATGTCTCTACACATACACTGCACTTGGATTTGTGGTGTTCCTTCTGCCTCTGTACTTCCTCCACTTCATTAAACATGTCAGAATTTCATCCAATCAGTACTGTTTAAAAACATTCCCTAAGATGGCTGTGGTCTGTGCCGCCCTCGATCTTGCAGTCTGCCTATACTGTTAGCAGTCTTAAGCATTTTGCGCCGGGCACCTATAAATCAGCGGAAGAAAATGAGTCTCAAACGCCATGAACGTGAGTCCTGGATGGGTCCAGTATGCGGTACTTTCGACTCTGCAGGTGAATGCTCTATAGTACATTAGCAGATTCGTTTTTCTCCATTTTACCTCATGTAGGTCATGGAATTTCTGGTTTCGGGCAAGATGCCTGCATGTGGATCTAGAAATTTAAATTTACGGGTTTGTTTCAGGAGGACAAAAGATGTGGGCTGACAGTGACTGCACTTAGGTGCCATTGGTAGACAACATTAATTTTAATGAAGCTGAAAATTCAGGTGAACAAGAACGTCTGTAGGCAGGTGTAATTCCTGCAAAAAGTTTACAGTCACATAATATCAGCATCCTTGCGTAAAGTGGTTTTTAGCCTGCTGGTTTTGAACAATGCATGTGACTCTGCGTTGTATGCGGTGCCTTCATTGTATGCAAAGTACAAGCTATGCGGTCTGCCAAATGACGGAATTAAGGAGTTCCGACAATCCAACACCTCACAGGGCCAGCAAAAGACATATTTTTCTTTGTAGGTAAACTGAGAGCATGTTAAGTCTTTCGCCTACGTGTTCGACGTCCCAGTTCAGCAACGAAAGACTACGGATGTGTACGTCCTCAGCGGCCTCATACCGATGAGGCATCCTTCTACTTTTATATTATCAGCAAGGTAAAGATGAGATTTACTTGATAAGGGCTGCATCTGCCGATAGCATATAATCATATCCCCTTTTGGATGGGAGAATCCATTCACTTCCAATACTTAAAGCGACGTATTATGTGAACATATCAGAGAACAGCAAATTAGCTCTCTTTCTCTATCTTACCTAAATTTACCATGGTTTTTCCCCAGGAATTAGTCATTATCCTGGAAGTCTACATTATAACATGGCAAAGGTATTATAACGTACTTCAGAGATAGGTATTAGTTTAACACCCAGACGCGTGTGCCGCCCATATCCTCTGTTGTCAGTTTGGTAACTAATATAGATACAGTCTGCTTGTATAGCATTCTGCTCAGAGAGACGGACAAATGTACATTTCACCTAAATCAACGTTCATTTAAACTTGTAGTGTTTGGATGAACCGCAATCGTTTGCGATTTCGGTTTTTGCAATTGAAACTTGAAAAAAACACGTAGGCCACATGACAATGCGCACATGAAGATAAGCAGTTCGCTGACTTCCTTGAACACTCCTATGATTGTAGTCGTCCGGGCGTCTTATTAGCGCTTTGAAATCGCTGTTATCCAATAAAAATATGAGTGAGATCTGTAAAGAAGCTATATAAGTGACGCCAGACTTCCAACCTATAGTGGGCGACGGCCATCTACAATTGCAAAAATGAGACTCCGGTCTTCGATTCTACTGCAGGCTGCATTAATCTTTCTCGGTGACATTTTCGGCAAGTCTGATCCCTTAATTCACTTCTTCACAATATCTCTATCTCGCATCCTGTTCCCACAGACTACACCTTAATGTAATGTATCCCGAAAAATTGTGACGCAGGAAAAATACGCATGATGTTGCTGGATTTTCGTAGCGAGAATTCTAGGTAAAATGGCCAATCCAATCCCAGTTTTACTATAACTTGAAACTTCTTCTTTCCTGCTTTCAGCTCGCGCCGAGGAACCATCAACTTATAAACTGTGCAACAGTACACACACAGAGTGTACAACTATAAACTTGAGACCCGGAGACCAGACCAAAGGCCAGCACTGCCGTACAGCCTGTTCAAATAAGACAACAGGTCTGTATATTTGCCACATGCATGCATGTCAATGACGACTGCGAATGCTGCGCTTATTTTCAGATTCCTGATTGACGCGGCACGTAGCTCATACATTAACCTCCTCCTTGTCCTTTAGGGCAGTTGAGCGAGAAAATCACAGCCGTCTATTGCGAAACTTCTGGGGAACCCTGCACCTCGTACGACGTTTACGGACGACCAAATTATCCCAGAAATTTCAAAAGACATGTTCTCTGTGTGCAGGCATGTCAGTTTGTTGCACAAGGTGAGTCGCCAAATCGCCTTCCAGAAACACTTGCGCCCTCGTCTTCTCAGCAGGCCAAACACCTGCTACATCGTCTAACACTCACCTAACCTCCATCATGGTTCATATGCCATGCAAATAGGCATGATAATTAACAACGTATTCGTCACTTTTCAGTTGAACAAAGCACCGCGATGTCTTTTAAACTATGCAGGGACGTCCAGCAGAGGTGTAGTCCAATTGAGAAGACGAATGGTACATTCAATGACTTCAGAAGGTGCATTTTCCAGTGTGACGGTTGGGTAAAGCGTAAGTTCTTAACCTACATTTTGCACACTTGTACTGCTTTGCGTCACCCTTGTTCATTCAGTAAGCTGCCTTTTTAACTTTAAAGTGGAAAATACCAAGGAGAACACAGCATACCTCTGTCCTGCAAGCGGCGATTGTCAGCAAGGCAATTACTTCACCAAGAAGAATGAAGCAGGCGCATTCGCCAGCTTGAAGGCCTGTTTCGAGACTTGCATGTCAGGTGAGGTTCCATATGCACTGCAGCTTGCCATTAAAGAATGCTTAATACTCGTTTCCGAAACGTAGTGTTTTTGGTAGGAAAAAGGGAATTTGCATACGAACAGACGTTATTCTATTACAGTCTTCACTAAACTTCCATGCAGCAGCAACACTCGATCCTTTTGCAGCTATGGTTCCCCACAACGAAGAAGTGATTATCATCACTTCACGATGATCGCATGGCATATGTCAGAATTTCGGTAACATGAATTCGTCCAGACACTTATCCTCTCCGTCGGTAAACGTGCTTCATATTTGTCAGTAATTAATCTACAAACTTAAATATACATTCATAGACCTGAAGATCGCAAACAATTGCAATGGCTCACATAGCTGCTAGAAAATTCTGCATAAACAGTGAGAGACGCTCTTGTAACGACAGATTTTATAGACTGATTAATATTGAAGTGGCCGATAGTTATGCAAATATAAAATTGTGTTTTCGTTTCAGAGGAAGCTTTGGAGGATGCGATTGGTGGTGGTGGAGGATTTGTATTCTAAATTTTCCATTATTGGTGTGGTGTTTTGCATCCGCTTTAAGAATAAAATGCATCGGACACTATGCATGATTTTCTTGGGGGGATAACGAGCGGATAGAAATTCCGAGCTCCTTGCAAAGAAGCTGAAGCCCGCTGACATACGTCCATTAATGCGGACGGACCAATGTGCCCGTTAACACAAAAGTAGATTATCTCATACTTGCTGGCAAAACCCATACTGTGACAGATTAAGATGAAAAGTGAATGGACACGTGCAATTATCAATTCTCGCCATGATTCAGAAAGAGTCAAGGGTGCTGACCACCCTTGACGATGGATGCGTCAAATATAAATATATGTCCATCGGATAATAAACAGACCCGAGGGTTTCCAGCAATAGTGTATAAATGAGCCGCGAAAATGCAAAATGTTCAGGGTGTACAGAGTCCCAAGTGTGAAAAGTAGGGTAGGACACTGGCGGTGAATTAAACGGCATGGCAAAATTAGCGGCTTTGGGATGATAGTCTTTGTCCTGGAGATACAGGCCAACTGGTCGGAGAAGTGCCTGTTTTCTGTCATAACGTTAGGAGAAAAAAATAAGTGTTTTAGAAAAATGAAAAAAGCAATTAGGCACGAGGTATCCAAAAAGGCAAATGAGTGTATGTGAATGATTTATGGTCTGAGACAAAGGACAGACGAACTGTCATGACAGAAGATGCCTATTAGGGTAAAATCAAGGACGATGCCTAGCATGTTGTTTCGTTGATAGAGATAGTAGACTTGCGCTGCATCTACCGCACTCTCTACTCTGTTCCCCTATCCGGATCCGATGTCAAGACAGAGTTAAGAGGACCACAGACAGGAGAAGATACATGTTGTTAGCTCGACGTAACTCCTCATCAAATCGTAACACTACACCCTTTGGTTCACAAAATACACTGACCGGGATTTGATACAACAAATTCATAGCAAACTACTGCGTAAAATGACTGCAGCTGATTTTCAGAACTTCGATGCTTTTGAAGCACACAAGGATATGCTCGTGAAAATCAGACTGAACTCGCTCTTTCAGGATAATGAGTTGAAGGATATCGCACATCGATTCTCTGGAATACCTGAATATAATCCTATGAAGGCAGTGACGCACGGTTACTAGGAAGTATTGCTTATCAAGTTCTTTTCAGCAATCTTACCCGTTGAGACACACAGAGATTTAAGGGCCGCGTTCAGCTCAACGGATCAATGGTCAAGATTGCGGGATTGTCGACTGATCCTGCTGCGTCCGCGTATGATTATGTCCGGACAGGCAACAGTGCGTTGGAAAGTAACTACTTAGGTAAATTTTAAGAAGAAGAATTGGTGTCAAATACATGTCAACGAACAGCCTGCTCTAACAATGTGCTCACCGAAACTATGCAATGCAGCTATCGTTGCCCTCCTCAACTTGTCTTGTCTGTTTAGTACCGGAGCCACAGGTGCTGCCAGTTTGTGGGATATTAGACTACAAATGGCTTAATAGACATGAACAAACAAAATCTTGCTACCCCAATCGAGAGAATGTAAGTCATCTGTGTGCTGCAATGGCCGACATCCGTGGTTGACATTAAAGCACGTTGAATTTTTTTGAATTATTTAAATTATGCAGCCAGCGGTGATTGCACTAATTTTTGAGCTACCAGAATATCCAGTTATGGTCGGAGCATGATAAAGGTAATTAGTTGAGTTCGTTTTCTTAAATAATGTTCTAAACCACGGTCCGGCTTTATTTCAAAATTAATTGAAAAGTGGACTAGTTGAACTATGCGAATAAGACTACGGACCTAAGCAAGAAGGCGTATTTAATTATAAAAAGTAATAGCCCACTTCTGAATGAAGGTGGGTGCTATTACAACTGAAATGTAGACGTCGTGAAGGTTGACATACTTGAACTTAATTTGCGAAATCTCTCTCCATGATGCCTCACTTACCAGGTGTAATTACAATCACAAATTCCAATGCAATATGTGTTCACAGTCACTGTTTTATGTACTAATGTTATTTTTTGCATACTGCGGTCGCACATCGCCAATTCACTGTTAGATTGCTGGGACAATAGGATGTGTCGGGTGTTTAGGTGGGACGCCAATCAGTATTACCAAGGTGTATTTTAGCATTTTTGTACAGAAAGCTTGTGCTGTTTTCCAAGGAATTTATATGAAGTAAACTGCCCCTTTATATGACATGCTGAATAAAAAACCTACTCTGCTTTTGCAAATTATGCGAATGCATCATTGCAGCAACATGGTTGAATACAGTCGAAATTAAACCATTGGCGTCTGCAGGATGACTTGATGCA